TTTTTTTTTTTTTTTTTAATTACACAGAGGTGCATTTGATAAAGGTGACATTGATAGTTATTAGTGGGGTTTTGAATTATTATTAAAATAATATTTAAAATAAAATATTTAAAGTTGATTTAATATAATTATATGAGAGATATGATGTGAACTGATAATTAAAATTAATATTAGTAGATGAATAGTGAATCAAAGTTGTTGTGATGTATAAAAATGGTTGTTTAATATTATCTAATTATATTGATAATATTGAAAATAGTGAAGTTAAGGTATATTTTGAGTGTTCCTATTTGTATCCACCTTTTGGTGGATTTGTAAGGCTAGTTATCCTCCGAGCTTCATCTTGTAATTCACCATTATAAGGTATACAATTTATCTTTTTGAAAAAAAAAAAGAAAAAAATTAAGCCAATCTTTTTAAATAAAAACGGCTGAAAAATTCACATACGACATTCAATGGGAAACAATTAGAAGAAACAATAAGGGAATGCTCGAATATAAAAAATTTTGGTTTAGTTTGAATTTTTTGGTTTGCTTTGCTTTGACTAATTTTGAAAAAGGTGATACATTGAGTATATTAAAATAATATTTAAAATATTAAAATTAAAATTGATTTGATATGAATGTCGGAAAGAAAAGATTTGAAGTGATAGTTAGTTAAAATTATGTGAGTTGATGAACAGTGAATTAAAATTAATGTAGTATGTGCAAATAATTGATTGCTATTATTTTTTTTGGTACAGGGACCTTCCGGTTTCCGGATCCACAGGGGAACCAACTAATCTGGAATCGAGTCGGGTAGGACCACAAGGGCGACAAAGCTCTCCCTCAAGAGTTTTAACACTGCTGTATTCCCAGGGCTCGAACACGAGACCACTGGTTAAGCTGGAAGAGACCCAAACCATCTCATCCAAGCGCTCTTGGGTTGCTATTATTTAATTATATGAATTAGAAAAAAAATGATTTAGTTAAAAATAATTGAATTTTTTTTTAAGATGTTTCATAATCAAGCATTATGTTAAATGTATCAATATTAAGACATTCTTCCACGGTAATCATGATGTCTTTTAAGCACACTCACGCCAAAGCTATAAATTACAGGAAATGCATACTGACAGGGACAAATACATAAAATATGAGATGGAATGTTGTTAATTAATTGTAATAAATAAAAATGTCTATATACTTCTGATTGGAGGTAAACATGTATAAAAAGAATTAAGCACGCCTGAATTTTTATATGAGACTAATATTTTTAAATAAAAAATATTGAAAACGGTGGAACTAAAATTTGATTTTATATTATTTAGGTAACATTAATTTTTTTCTTAAACATTTTTTTTTTTGTAGAAAACGAATGGAGTTGTTTCCAAACAAAGAGAATGGACTCGGAGTTTTCATCCTCTGATCTTGTGGGCCCACATGACAGCTCACGCGTACGGATAGGCCTGGTATCATAATTTCGTCTCATCGGTGTTCCAACTTCCAACTTCCAACATTTGACAGATTTAAATTTAAATTAGTAGAATATGTGTTTTAATATTAGGATATGATTGTTTTCAAGTATAAACTACACGAATTTTGATAAAAAAAAATAGAAAAAATGAAAATGTAATTTATTTCAAAATTTAAATATAAATATGCAATAAATAATAATTAATAATTGTGTACTACATGAATATTTAAATAAAAACTACATAGAGCAAACAAAAAACTAAAACTAAATCCAAAAAAAAAAAAAAAATATTCTAATTTTCTAACTAATTTTATAAATTATATTATGAGGTTTATTAAAATTAATAAACGTGTACTACAAGTGTCCATCAATAGTTTTCCTTCAAAAATATATATAAGGGAAATTGTGATTTGTTAAAAAATGTTAGTTTTTGATTAATTGTTTGTCCCAATGTATACTAAAGATGTGTAGAATCTCTTTAGTATAAATAGGTCTCTTGCATTTGGGTTACAATTGCACCTTATTCTATTCTCTCATATTTAGAAGAAAACCCTTAATTAAGGAAATCCTAATTTGTGGACGTCACACTCATCGATGAATATTTGGCTCTTATGTTGTTATCATCACTTCCAGATGACTTCGAGCACTTAGAGACTACTCTGCTCCATGGGAAGGACGATGTAACTCTTGCAGTGGTCAGTTCTGCTCTGTATAACCACGAGTTGAGGAAGATGAACAAAGTATGATAAATACGACGCAAACCCAACAGGTGGAGCTGACATCGAAGCAGGTGGAGATAGATGCGATAACGAGACAACCAGCTATGATCGACGGACCAATATCAAAGGATTCGTCGAATGATGAAGTTCAGACTCAAGAGTCATTAGATTTACCCATTGCATTGAGAAAGCCCAGATGAGAGATTCAACAACCTGCTCGATTGGCGGATATGGTGGCTTATGCACTTCCAGTTGTTGATGATGACATACCTTTCACTTTTCAAGATGCAATTAAAAGTTTAGAAAATGAGAAGTGAAAATGGGCTATGGAGGAAGAAATGTTGTCTCTCCAGAAGAATCAAACTTGGAAGGTGACGCAACTACCCAAAGGCAAGAAGGCGATAGGATGCAAGTGGGTATTTGCAAAAAAAAGATGGATTTCCTCATAAGAATGATGTGCGCTACAAGGCAAGGTTGGTGGCTAAAGGCTACGCTCAGAAGGAAGGAGTTGATTATAATGAAGTGTTTTCTCCAGTTGTTAAACACTCTTCCATTAGAATTTTGTTGGCCTTAGCAGCACAGTTGGATTTAGAGGTAGCTCAACTTGACGTGAAGACAACGTTTTTACACAGAGAATTGGATGAGGAAATCTACATGACTCGGCTAGAAGGATTCAAAATTCTTGGAAAAGAGAATTGGGTCTGTAAGTTGAACAAATTGTTATACGGACTGAAGCAATCTCCGAGGCAGTGATACAAACGGTTTGATAAGTTTATGATCAGGCAGAAGTACACGGAAAGCAGACATGATCATTGTGTGTATTTACGCAAGCTACAAGATGGATCTTTCATTTACTTACTCTTGTATGTGGACGACATGTTGGTTGCACCAAAGAGCCAAGTGGAGATTGATCAATTGAAGGCTCAGTTGAATCAAGAGTTTGAGATGAAAGATTTGGGGGAAGCTAAGAAGATACTCGACATGGAGATAAACAGGGTCAGAATGAGAGGCAAGCTTTGTTTGACTCAGAAGCAATATCTGAATAATGTACTGCAGCGTTTCGACATAAAAGATGAGTTGAAACTTGTAAGTACACCACTTTCCCCTCATTTTAAGTTAAGTGCCCAGTTATCGCCAAATTGTGATGAAGAACGAGAGTACATAGCTAGATTCCCATATGCAAATGCAGTTGGCAGTTTGATGTATGCAATGGTGTGTACAAGGCCCGACATTTCACAAGCAGTTGGTGTTGTTAGCAGGTATATGCATGATCCTGGTAAAGGTCATTGGCAAGCTGTGAAATGGATTCTACGGTACATTCATAGTACTGTAGACGTTGGAATAGTTTATGAGCAGAATGAATTTGGTCAGTGTGTAGTCAGATATTGTGATTCCGACTACGCCGGTGTGTTGAGAGAAGATGACAATATGGCACACGAATTAAAAAACGAGAAAAGTAAACAACACAAGATTTCCCTCGCTACGTTCCCTCCGTTACGCTCGCAGGCATCAGCCTGCCCTATTTCTTTGTCAATATATGAGCCATACCAACAAATCTCCACCTTGGCGAATATATCACCTCCTTAGGAGAACACAATACTGAGCACCTCTGCGAGACACACCAAGCAGGCCGGGGGTACCATGCAACTCTAGCATGCAGAAACATTCAACAAATCCAAGCAAGGCTTGAATTTGTCAGAAGTAACAGTCTTAGTCAACATATCAGCAGCATTCTCTTAAGTATGAACTTTCTCCAACTGAATATCACCAGATGCAATCCATTCCCTAATCTTGTGGAACCTCACATCAATATGCTTCGTCCTAGCATGATATATCTGATTCTTAGCCAAATGAATGGCACTCTGACTGTCACAATGTACTAGAACTCCACCTTGCTGAATACCCAACTCTCTAACCAATCCAGCAAGCCACACTGCTTCCTTTGCCGCTTCAGCCAAAGCAATATACTCAGCTTCAGTTGTAGATAGAGCAACTATAGGCTGAGTATTCGACCTCCAACAAATAGGCCCTCCACCAAAAGTAAAGACATACCCAGTGGTAGATCTCCTATTATCCAAGTCCCCAGCATAATCAGAATCCACATATCCTACAACCAAAGGATCCAACCGCTGATCTCCAAACACAATACCATGTCCCGCAGTACCTTTCAAATATCTGAAAATCCATTTGACTGCCTCCCAATGCTGTTTACCCGGCCTAGACATATACTTGCAAACTTGACCAACAGCATGAGCTAAATCAGGACGAGTACATACCATGGCATACATCAGACATCCAACAGCACTGGCATAAGGTATCTCCACCATATCCTGAGTCTCCTTGTCCGACTTGGGACACTGATCAACAGAAAGCTTGAAGTGGTTTGCTAATGGAGTGCTCACCGGTTTTGCTTCATTCATCCCAAACCTCTGTAGCACCTTCTCCACATAACCCTTCTGAGATAACCACAGCTTCTTTGATCCTCTATCCCTGTGAATCTCCATCCCAAGAATCTTCTTCGCAGCCCCCAAATCCTTCATCTCAAATTCCTGACTCAAAAGGCTTTTCAGATCAATAATATCACGCATATTCTTGGCAGCAATAAGCATGTCATCAACATAAAGTAGCAGAAAAATCATAGAACCATCACCAAGGCTCTTGGTGTAAACACAGCAATCAAAATCACAACGCTTGTAGCCAATCTTCACCATATACGAATCAAACCGTATATTCCACTGCCGCGATGCTTGCTTCAAGCCATACAAGGATTTCCTCAACCTGCAATATAAATGCTTCTTCCCTGGTTGAACGAAGCCCTCTGGCTGCTGCATGTAAATAGGCCTTGCGAGATCACCATGCAAGAAAGCAGTCTTCACATCCATCTGCTCCAAATGCAAATACCAACTAGCTACCAATGCAAGTACAACCCTGATCGAAGTATGTCTAACCACAAGGGAAAATGTCTCATCATAGTCAATCCCTTTTTGTTGTGAGTATCCTTTAGCCACCAATCGAGCCTTGAACCTTTCCCCTCCTTTTTCTGTTACCGATGACTTCCTTGTGTAAATCCACCTACAACCAATAGCTCTCTTCCCTTCGGGAAGAACATGCAACTCCCATGTCTGATTCTTGTGTACAGAATTCATCTCTTTTTCCATGGCAGCCTTCCATCCTCCTAGAAAGTGCAAGGATCCACACTAGTGATCGTAAGAGCAAATGCAACCATATCCTCATAACCAAACCTGACTGGAGCTTGTATATTGGTACGCCTCACTCTATCCCGAGCTAACTTGTAGCTCTCTGGCACATCAGTTGGGTCAAAAACATCATGATCAACATCATCAGGTGCAGAACTCGAACTCTCTCCCTTGTCAAGAACTGCTGGAACATGTTCCAACTCCACCTGTACTTTATCCGCATCTGATCCCAACATATACTGTTCATCAAACACTGCATCTCTACTAATCACCGTCTTCTTCTCAATTGGATCCCAAAACTTGTATCCCTTTACACCTTTCTTATAGCCCAGAAAAGTGCACTTCTTTGATTTAGCATCAAGTTTTTACCTCTCATCAGCAGGAATATGAACATAAGCAGGACAACCAAAAATCTTCAAATGATCAAAACTAACATCATTACATGTCCATACTTCTTCTGCAACTTTGCCATCCAGAGATGCACGTGGTGATCTGTTAATTAAATAACAAGCCATACTTACAGCCTCAGCCCAGAAACTCTTTGGCAAAACCCGCATTCAGTCTTAAACACCTCGCCCTCTCAGCCAGTGTCCGATTCATCCTCTCAGAAACACCATTCTGCTGTGGTGTTTTACGCACTGTAAAATGCCTTTGAATCCCATGCTCCTCACAAAACTTCTGGAACTGTGAATCGGTGTACTCTGTACCATTATCAGACCTTAAGTACTTGATTTTCCTACCAGTCTGGTTCTCCACCTCAGCCTTCCATAGCTTGAATTTAGCAAAAACTTCAGATTTATGCTTCATGAAATACACCCAAACTTTCTTCGAAAAATCATCAATAAAGGTCACATAGTATAAGGAACCACCAATCGATGTCACTCTAGTAGGACCCCACTCATCTGAATGTACATAATCCAGAATTCCTTTTGTCTTCTTCTTCCCAGTCTTGAAACTGACTTTTGTCTGCTTTCCCAGAACACAAAACTTGCAGAAATTTTGTTTGTTTAACACCATGCAGAAGCCCCCTCTTATGTAGCTCAGTCATGCCATGTTCACTAAGATGTCCAAGACGCATGTGCCACAATTTCGTGCTATCTTCACACGACTCCACCGACTGGACTCCACCTATAACTGTACTTCCCAACAGTTTGTAAATGTTCCCTGCAGTGATCCTCCCCTTCATCACAGTCAAGGCACCCTTCACAATCTTAATGGTTTCCCTATCCTCATCAGCCTTGGGAATGAAACCATTTCTATGCAAAGTACCCAAAGAAATCAAATTCTTCTTCAACTCAGGGATATGTCTCACATCACACAACGTCCTAACAGTTCCATCATACATCTTGATTTTGACATCCCCAATACCGACAATACCGCAGCATCTATCATCACCAAGAAAAACAGAACCCGAGTTGCCTGATTTAGAAGTAGCAAACCACTCTCTGTTAGGCGTTATATGATATGAACATCCAGAATCGAGAATCCAAGCATCATCATACTGCGCAGTCGAAATAGATAACATATCTCCATCACTGCAATCAGATTCCTCATTCTGTACCACATTCGCAGACTTGGATGACATATCAGCAGTCTGTTTCTTCCACTTTGGGCAATCCCGTTTAAAGTGCCCTTGTTCCTTGCATTTATAACACGTCACAGTTTTCCTCCCTTTCGATTTGTCTCGCGACTTGGATATGAAATTCCAATTTCCTGAATTATCCCGCACCTGTTTCCTTCCACGATCCTGGTTACCCTTCACATATAAACTGTCACTTTGAGAAGATGACTCTCCAGATTTCTGTTTCCGCTGGTTGTGAGCCAACAACGCTGAAGTAATCTCCTCAGTCTTGATCGTTTCTTTCCCACATGTAAGGGTAGTCACCATATGTTCGTAAGAAGGAGGTAGCGAACACAGTAAAATCATCGCCTTGTCTTCATCTTCAATCTTGACTTCGAGTGAAGCCAAATCCGTGACAACCTGATTGAAGATATTCACATGTTGCCCTAAATCGGTCCCCTCCTGCATCTTCAGCCCGTATAACATCTGCTTTAGATACAGTTTTGTCGTTAGGGTTTTCGACATGAACTGCGATTCTAATTTCTTCCAGATCTCATCCGCCGATTTGAGATGCATAACGTGATACATAACTTCATCTGCAAGGCACAACCGAATCACGTAAATTGATGTAAAATGAATCACAATTGATGTATTGAAAGAGGACTTGGTCAAAAGCACGTCTGAATCACAATGCATAACTTCATCTGCAAGGAAGAGGACTTGGTCAAAAGCACGTCTTAGTGCATTGTGATAGTCAGAGCGCTATTCACTTAGCGAAAATCAAGTATTTCATGCAAGAACGAAGCATATTGATGTTCGCTATCACTTTGTGCGAGAGATTCTAGAAGATGGAACCGTTGTGTTGAAGAAGATCAAGACGACGGAGAATCCTGCAGATATGATGACCAAGGTAGTGACATCAGTCAAGTTCGAACATTGTTTAGACTTGAACAACATTCTGCATATTTGAGTTAGCGCCGAGAGGCGCATTTGGAGGCACCACTAGCAGTTGAGTCGAAGTGGGAGCAAAATTAGTCAAGTGGAGAATTGTTAGTTTTTGATTAATTGTTTGTCCCACATCGGATGTATACCAATAATGTGCAGGATCTCTTTAGTATAAATAGGTCCCTTGCCTTTGGGTTATAATTGCACCTTATTCTATTCTCTCCTATTAGAAGGAAATCATAATTTGTGGGTTATTTAACCTTGGTTGTATTATGTTGGTGAGTTTAGTAATTTTGGCATTGCGGTTGGCGGTGCCCGGAGACATAGGCTATTTTCGTCGAACTCTGTTTTCAATTTTTGCGTTCTTTTCTTTCTTGTTTTTTATTTATTTGTGTTGGCTTATTTTCGTTTGAAGTAGTGCTTGTCATATGTGTTGAAGGGGTATTTTTGTCGCTGCGCTTGTTGTGATACCCTAACAAAAAATTCATATCTTTTGTAACACTAGGATTTCTACAAAGATGATATATTTGTTTGTTTGTTTGTTTGTTTGTTTGTTTGTTTTTACCTCATACAAGTTTATCAATATTTCAAAACACTATTATAAATCTTTTTCTCAATATTTTGTTTTTTAGTGCTTCACTTTGTGGGTATCTCCGAGTTGTTCGGCGGTTGCGGCGGCCCTGGGCATTTCGGTTCAATTTATGAAGGATCACTGGTGGAACGAGCTTTTCTTCACTGATGGAGGCTGAGCCGAACCCCTGAGTAGGTTTTCGTCGTGGACTTCAGGTGCTAGAACGGGGTTGTGGGTGGCCGCTTTTATGGTGTTTTGGGTGGCGTCCTGTGGCTTCTTCTTATGGGTGGGTTTCGGGTTGGAGGGTCCACCTCCTTTTCATCGTGCTCCTCTTCCTCCTGGTGTTGGATGGAGGGGTCGGCAGTCGAGGCCAGATCGAGGTCCGGTTTTCAGTGATCTGGCCTGTTTTTGATGGTTTCGGGTGTGGGTGGTTTAGGTGTGAGTCTCTGGGCTAGGGCTGGGGTGTGCGTTCGGACTGGGTTGGGGTCGTTGGTGTTGGACATATAGGCGTTAGCTTGTAGTTTCTCATTCGGACTCCGGGGCTGTGACTCGATCCGTATAGATTGAGGCCCATTTGCGTTGCCGTTTTGTCACTTGGAGTAGTTTGTCTGTTGCGGGAAGTTTGTTTAGTTCTGTTTAATAGTGTTTTTTTTCGTGTTTCTGTTGTGTTTTTAGCTAGTTTTCTAGCATTTGGGTGATGCGGTTTGTTTTGTTTGCGTTTCTTCTTCTCTCCCGTTGGGAATGAGTTTCGTGTATTATTCTGTTGGGAGCTTTTGGTTTCTTCTCATGTTGGGAGTTTCTTTGTTGTGTTGTGTGTGATATGTGGACTCTAGGCTGCCATCAGTGTGTACGTGTAGTCCTCTCTACAAGAGTCAGCTGTTCAGCTTATTCTGCCGTTGGCTGTATATTCAGCTGAATAGCTGTTCTCCAGTCTCGGATTTGTTGTGAGTATAAGTAATTCCTATAGTTTTGTAAAAAAAAAAAAAAAAAATCGACCGCATGTCGTGTCTCTCGATAAAGGTTTTTCGGAATACCAATCCAGATTTAACCAATCAATCCACTTTAAATCTACCAAACAATTTCAAATCCAAAATTTTAACTTAAAATTCAACTCATATCTAAATCATTTTCAATCTTCTCGATATTATCATTGTAATTTTATAATATTATTCAATCAATCAATCATTATCACATATCAAATCAACAAAATTCACTATTCATCCATGCATATATTTTTAACTAATAATCAAACTTAATTACATCACTCATACTTTTTCATCAGATCAATTTTAATCATTACACTTCAACGCATCTCCAAACACAAACCCAAAATGCAATCAACCAATTAACTCAATCATCTTTTTTTTTTTTTTCAATTTCAGTTCACTTTTTATTCAACAAATCCAAATCATGTCCAAAAAACATATGTTTAGTCGAACCCTGAACACTCTACTCACCAGAGTATTTATTATTTTATGCTACATTGAACGTAATTGAAAGCTTGAATGAAAGAAAGTAAACTAACTTGAGCCCAAGAAAATCATAAAATTGCAACAAAAAGGAAAAAGAAAAGAATAATAAGGGGGTGATTGTTTATGGATTCAACTAGTTTTATTTTCTTTGTTTTTTAACTATAGTTAATTTTGAAAAAAGGTGGTATGGTTAGTTGTTATTAGGTATATTAAAATAATATTTAAATAAAATAATTAAAGTTGATTTGATGTAAAGTAGGAAAAAATGATTGGAAATGATAGTTAGTTAAAGTTATGTGAGTGGATGAATAGTAAATTAAAGTTGATGTATAATAATGATTTATTGATATTATTTAATTATGTTGATAATATGAGAGATAGTGAAGTTGGGTTAAAGTTGAGTTAAATTTGAATTTTGATTGATTTTTTTACTGTAGAAACCATAAACGATCGCCCCATAAGCACCTCAAGATCAAAGAGGGAAACACTGAGAGGTCCGAAAACATACAAACCAAATATTCGTTACTTGGCAATGAACCAATCGGGCTATAATGCTAACTCGTACCAGGAACATGTAATAAAAGGCATCAATTAATTTTCTCCATGCAATCGAAACAAAATCACACGTTCCTTATTCTCCGGGGATGCTACTCTACTTAAAAAAATCCTACATTTACCCTAGAAAAATTATCAAGTAAAGACAGGAAAATTTACGAGATATTGAAACTTAAATTAAGTTTTCAAGTCTCTGACTTTGAGTTGAGCGCCGAGATGGCGGAGGAGCATTCTTCTTCGGCTTCACCGTGCTCTGCTTGGATTTAGTCATTGTCGAGAAATAGAGATCCTCTTGAAGAAGGAATGTTAGAGAGTTTTTAGAAAGATAAACAAAATAGAGATAATGATTGATATGAGAGAGAAGCAAAGGTGATATGGATGAAATAGGAAACCACAATTTCAGTTACCGAGGCAGGTTGAAGATGGTTCGGCTCTGCAGATTTGAAATTCAAAATTTGACCAACACTTAGTGCAAACAATTAATAACCGTTCCCTCCAAAATGAAAAAGATTTGTTACCATGTTTTGCAACAAGGTTACCATATATATACCGCATGAAGTTTTAGACGAGAATATTTTCAAATCACGTACCAAAAATAATTTTAGGCTCAAGATCGAAATAATATATGCCATGAGAAAAACTGGACGCACATGCCTAAATAAGATATTTAACACGCAATACCCTAGAATTTTCTTTTCACGCAATATTGAAATAAAATCCATTAATTGATTGACCCAAAAATCTTCCCAAATCAATTTGAGACAAGCTTGAAACTAACAAGATGATGAGAAAAATAAATTCTCTTCGTGCACAACTCAGCCCTTATTTCTCCCACTTTTATACAACACGGGATTAATATAAGTTCATTCATCACTTTCTCTTAGCAAAAAACGAAATTTTTGTTTTCAATTCAGCCCCAATACTTATGATGAACTTACTCCGTTCTATGAACTTCTACACCAATTCACTTACTAACATCAACTATACGCCAATGTCAAGCCCATTACTTGAGGTGTGAATCATCCCGCAAAAAGTTTTAATTTTTAACAAGCTAAGAAGATATCAGGATGGCCAGCCTTATTTCACCAGAGAACGTTCATTCTTAGAATGTTTACCTGTAGCTATCACACCTCGATTATTATTAAGCACGTAACTCGTTTCACAGGTGATCAAGGAAACACCTCATGTGATAGTTGCCCGATGCCTATTTTCCCGAGAGCAGCTCTTACAAGTATATTAAAATGGTCATCATGACGACCTCTTACAAACTGACCAGTTAGAATTCATAGATCAATCAACAAACTCAACAATAAACAATCAGAGAAGAATTATACTAAAATGCCTAAAATGCAGAAAAGATCCTATATGCAATAGACATGATATACATATATTTATAGAAATGCAACTGACACAATGCACATAAATTATATAGCACACATTCCTAAAGATTTTCTCAGGGACAAAAATCGTTTCAAATCAAGAGCTTTAGTGAAAATATCAGCAAGCTGATAATCTGTAGGTACATGATCCATCACAATAATCACATCTTCTACCAAATTACGCATAAAATGATAACGAATGTCAATATGCTTGGTACGAGAGTGTTGGACAGGATTTTTCGAAATATTTATAGCACTAGTGTTGTCACAGAAAAGTTGAGCCGAATGAACGTTCATACCATACTCAGATAAAATTTGTTTCATCCATACCAACTGTGAGCAGCAGCTCCCAGTGGCAATGTACTCGGCTTCAGCAGTAGAAAGGGAGATGCAGTTTTGTTTCTAGCAGAACCAAGATACCAAGTTTGATCCTATGTAAAAACACCCACCAGAGGTGCTTTTTCGATCATCAAGATTTCCAGCCCAGTCAGCGTCACAATTACCTGCAAGATGTAAGTTCGTATCAGCAGAGTAGAATAGACCATACTCTGTTGTACCTCCAATGTACTTTATGATATGCTTGACTACTTTCATATATGATTCTTTGGGGGCAGCCTGATACCTGATACACAATCCAACACTAAAGAAAATGTC